AGGCTTCTGCAACAGAATACCAGTGTCATATGAGAGCTTCTCCATGGCTAAAGTCGGATCCTCTGCAGTGCCAAGGTGCATTAAGGAGATTATCGTAAAGACCAGAACAATGTCTGAACTTCAGTAACCAATATGTCTGCCAGAACAATATTTACACAAGGTTAAAAAAAATGCTACATTCTAAGTGTCTTGATATATTTATATATATCTTTTATATTCAGTCTCTAGTTAAACTGTGTCTATTGTGTGGCACCATTACTCTTCCAGTAAAATAGTTGATGAGACAAATGTCTTGTAGCCCCTTAAGCACATTACTGCTTCTATTTCAAACAAATCATACTGCTTAATTATCTGTTAATCTGTCTGAAAAATGTTTTGTGTATGTTTGATAATGGTAATCTGGTGATGACACCAATAAGGAGCTTTTTCCATTTGCACACACTAATTTGCAATAATCATTTCTGCCATTCAAATTCAAGTCTTTCTGTTTATTTCCCATTTAAAATTCTCATAATTCTCTAAAACCTGCCTCTGTGATCCAGTGAGTGTGAATGTGGCAGGTGTTTGTGATTAATTATATGTGACAAAAGATGCCAGATATCAGATTAGAAGCAAAAATACTCAAGCAGGGAGTGTAAAAGTACATGACCAAATAAAGCAAGTCATGTCTGCTGAGGGAACGCTGATCTCTCTATATAAGAAGGGAGGCTGGACACCCCCAAGGACTGACAGGCGACCAGTCAAGGTGAGTGAGTTGCAGTCTTTTATTAGCAGGAGGAAAACCAGCAGCTTAGTGAACAATGCAGGGCATGACAACTTATTGCCAGACACCACAACGTGAATACAGAACTGTTGTTTGCATGCCAGGACATCAGTGTACAGTAAGTTTATTTTGCATTATGAAATAGATTTAGTACAGTTATTAATTTAAACTACTTCTTTCTATCTTTAGAACCCTCATTAAACCATCAGTATCTGTTCTTCTGCGGGCAGGGAAGAAGGTAATTTATTTTTTTTATGACTCTTTAATTTGTCTACAGACATTTAAATCAGTACCTGAGCATATGTATATGACTTTGTTATATGATGTCTACATGTTCATTAAACCTTTACTTTGAATGCAATGGTTGACAAATCAATTAACAGCTAATGGTGTGTATCCCACTCTGATACTGATATCTGATGCTTTCTAGGATTTAGTAGCACATGTAAGAAGTCATGGCATCAAAATATATATCAAAGATAATATACAGTTAATGTAAAATGTAACAGTGATGTCAAACAATAAATTTAGTTTTTGTGCTCAACATAAACAATTAAAATATAACATTGTCCTTTTTCTTCTGTTCTTCTTCAGAGCGTAACATTCATCATCATAGCTTAAACAGCACTTATCTTTTGTTCTATAATGAAGTACCATCATGAGCGAAGATGCAAAATTGCTGTCCTGTTTTTACTTACTTGCAGTAAAGAGTCACCATGGGGGACGCGGAAATGGAGTGTTTTGGCCCAGCTGCCATTTACCTCCGGAAGCCAGAAAGAGAGAGAATTGAAGCTCAAAACACTCCCTTTGATGCTAAAACAGCATACTTTGTGACTGAACCCAATGAGATGTATCTCAAGGGGAAACTTGTTAAGAAAGACGGTGGCAAAGCCACAGTGGAGACACTCTGTGGAAAGGTGAGAGTGATGGCAGTGGAAAAAAATGCTACATAGTTTTATCTTCTGAAGCAATTTGTAGTTCACATCACTTTATATACAAAGATAGGTCAGTGTGACAGGCTGTGTGCTCTTCTGTGTGCAGTTTTCTTTCTCTGTTTCAATCTAAGGAAGACAATTCATTTGAAAAAGATTTTGTTAAAAATATGCTGACATAACGTGCAAATCCTGTGATTGAATAAAATATGTTCAGCACTATAATTCCCAATATAAAAAACCCCTTAAGGGAAAAGTAAAAACTGATTTAACTGATCTTTTGTTGTGCTTTTTTAAATCATAACCACTGGCTGTAACAAATAATAGTGAATATACTTACCATCTCACTCTCACCACCAGTCTACTGTAAAAATTAAAGTCCTGTGTTGTTTCTGTCCCTGTAACAGTCAATCACTGTAAAAGATACAGAAATCTTCCCCATGAATCCTCCAAAGTTTGATAAAATTGAGGACATGGCCATGATGACCCACCTTAGCGAGCCTTCTGTGCTGTATAACATAACCCTCAAAGAGCGTTATGCAGCGTGGATGATCTATGTGAGTTTGACCTGATCATCACATCAGTAGATACAAACATGACTACAAGAAGAATGGTGGTGGTAAAAATCCTCTCTGTCTCCACAGACCTACTCAGGGGCTGTTCTGTGTCACTGTGAACCCCTACAAGTGGCTCCCAGTGTACGACTCTGTGGGTTGTATCCAGGATACAGAGGCAAAAAGAGGGTTGAGGCTCCACCCCACATCTTCTCCATCTCTGATAACCCTATCAAGTTCATGCTTACAGGTGTGTATAAGAAAACATTGCACGTTTTTTAAATGCAAAAACACCATCATTTGAGAAGCAGAGCAACAATTACAGTGTATATCAAATGTTAACTTTAAAAACAG